GGCAAGAAACAAAGTAAAAATTAAAGACTCTTTAGAATGTAATGAAAACAAAGACACAACATACCCAAACTTATAGGACACATTGATATAGGTGGTAAGAGGAAAACTCATAGTACTGAGTGCCTCCAAAAAGAAACTGGGGAGAGCATACACTAGCAGCTTAACAGCACACCTGAAAGCTCTAGAACAAAAAGAAGTGAATACACCCAAGAGGAGTAGATGGCAGGAAATAATCAAATGCATGTCTGAAGTCAACCAAGTAGAAACAAAAAGAACTATACAAAGAATCAAGTAAACCAGGAGCTGGTTCTTTGAGAAAGTCAACAAGATAGATAAACCCTTAGCCAGTCTAACCTGGGGACAAAGAGACATTATACAAATTAACAACAAGAAATGGAAGAAATTTTAAAACACATCAGATCCTCCTACAAAACCCTTTATTTAACTATACTGGAAAATCTCGACAAAATGGATGATTTTCTATACAGATTCCAGGTGTAGAATCATGATCCAATAATCCCTCTAAACAGTCCCATAACCCCTAAAGAACTAGAAGCAGTCATTAAAAGTCTCCCAACCAAAAAAGGTCAAGGACCAGTATGTTTTAGTACAGAATTTGATCAGACCTTCAAAGAAGACCTAACACCAATACTCATCAAACTATTCCAAAAAATATAAAGAGAAGGAATACTACCCAATTCATTCTGTGAAGCCACAATTATCCTGATACCTAAATCACACAAAGCCTCAACAAAGACAGAAAACTTCAGATCAATTTCCTGTATGAATATTGATGCAAAAATCCTCAATAACATTTTTGCAAACTGAATCCAAGAACACATCAAAATTATCATTCACCATGATCAAGTAGGCTTCATCCCAGGGATGCAGGGATGGTTCAATATATGGAAATCCATCAATGTAACCCACTATATAAACAAACTCAAAGGAAAAAAAAACCTACATGATCATCTTATTAGATGCTCAAAAGGCATTTGACAAAATATAACATCCCTTAGTGTTAAAAGTCTGAATGATCAGGAATTCAAGGCTCATATCTAAGCATAATAAAAGCAATATACAGCAAACTACTTATAGCAAACATCAAACTAAATGGAGAGAAACTTGAAGCAATCTCACTTAAAATCAGGGTTCAGATAAGGCTGCTCACTCTTTCTACAGCTATTCAATATAATACTCAAAGTTATAGCAGCACAATTAGACAAAAAAAAATCAAAGGGATTCAAATTTGAAAAGAAGTCAAGATATCATAGGTTGTAAGGTAGTATACTTAAGTGACCCTAAAAATTCCATCAAAGAACTAATACAGCTGATAAACAACTTCAGCAAAGTGGCTGGATATAAAATTAACTCCAACAAATTAGTAGCCTTCCACTACTCAAAGGATAAATGAGCTGAGAAAGAAATTAGGGAAATGACACCCTTCACAATAATCACAAATAATATAAAATACTTTGTGTGACTCTAACCAAGCAAATGAAAGATCTGTATGAGAAGAACTTCAAGTTTCTGAAGAAAGAAATTGAAGAATATCTCAGAAGATGGAAAGATCTCCCATGCTCATGGATTGGCAGAATTAATGTAGTAAACATGGCCATCTTGCCAAAAGGACTCTACAGATTCAATTCAATTCCCATCAAAATTCCAAATCAATTCTTCATAGAGATACAAAGAACAATTTGCAAATTCATTTGAAATAACAAAAAACTCAAGATAGTGAAAACTATTCTTAACAATAAAAGAGCTTCTGAGGGAATCACCATCCCTGACCTCAAGCTGAATTACAGAGTAATAGTGAAAAAACAAAAACAAAAAACAAACAAACAAACAAATCCACAACATCATGGTATTGGTACAGAGACAGACAGGTAAATCAATGTAATAGAATAGAAGACCCAGAAATGAACCCACACACCTGTGGTCACCTGATTATTTTACTAAGAAGCCAAAACTCTCCAGTGGAGAAATGACAGAATATTCAACAGATATTGCTGGCTCAAGTGGAGGTCTGCATGTAGATGAATGCAAATTGATTGATTCTTATCTCCTTGTACAAAATTCAAGTCCAAGTGTATCAAGGACCTCCACATCAAAACAGATACACTGAATCTAATAGAAGAGAAAGTGGGGAAGAGGCTGAATTACTTGGGCACAGGGGAAACCTTCCTGAACAGAACATCAGTGGCTAATGTTTCAACAGCAACAATCGAAAAATGGGACTTCATTAGACTGAAAAACTTCTGTAAAACAAGGGACACTGTCAACAGGACAAAATGGCAACCAACAGACTGGGGAAATATCTTTACCAATCCTACATCCAATAGAGGACTAATATCCAAAATATGCAAAGGAGCTAAAAACCAACCAGTGGAAAAAGGATAGCATTTTTAACAAATGGTGCTGGTTTAACTGGAGGTCAGCATGTAGAAGAATGCAAATCGATCCATTCTTATCTCTTTTTACAAAGCTCAAGTCCAAGTGGATCAAGGACCTCCACATATAACCAGATACACTGAATCTAATAGAAGAGAGGGTGGGGAAGAGCAACGAACACATGGGCACAGGGGAACATTTCCTGAACAGAACACCAATGGCTCAGGATCTAAGATCAACTATAGACAAATGGGATCTCATAAAATTAAAAAGCTTCTACAAGGCCAAGGGCACTGTCAACAGGACATAATGGCATCCTACAGAATGGGAAAAGACCTTTACCAACCCTACATCAGATAGAGGGCTAATACAAAGAACTCAGGAAGTTAGTCTCCAGAGAACCAAATAGACCTATTAAAACTGGGGTACAGAGCTAAACCAAAAAAAATCTCAACTATGGAATCTCAAATGACTGAAAGGCACCTAAACATACTTAGTAGTCAGGGAAATGCAAATCAAAACAACCCTGAGATTCCACCTCACACCAGTCAGAATGACTAAGATCAAAAACTCTGGTGACAACAGGTGCTGGGACGGATGTGGAGAAAGAGGAACACTTTGCTATTGCTTGTGGGATTGCAAGCTGATACATCCATTCTGGAAATCAATCTTGTAGTTCTTCACAAAATTGGATGTAGAGCTACCTGAGGACCCAGCTATACCTCCTGAGCACATACCCAAAAGATTCTGCAACATATAACAAGGACACATGCTCCACTATGTTCATAGCAGCCTTCTTCATAATAGCCAGGAGCTGGAAACAACCCAAATGGCCCTCAACAGTTGAATGGATATAGAAAATATGGTACATTTACACAATGGAGTATTACTCAGCTATTAAAAACAATGACTTCGTGAATTTCGAAGGCAAATGGATAGAACTTCAAAATATCATCCTGAGTGAGGTAACCCAGTCACAAAACACACATGGTATGTACTCACTGATAAGTGGATATTGGGCAAAAAGCTCAAGATACCCATGATAAAACTCACAGACCATATGAAGCTCAAGAAAAAGGAAGACCAAAGTATGGATGACGCTTCAGTCCTACTTAGAAAGGGGAAGAAAATAATTACTAGAGGTAGAGGGAGAGAGGGACCTGGGAGGGTGAAAGGAGAGGGAATGAGAAAGGGGGGCATAATTAGCTGTGGGAGGAAAAGGGGGAAGAAATACAGAGGGTCAGGAAATTGAACAGCAGTGTATAGCTGTTGGAGGATGAGGAACTGGGGGTAGTGACTAGAAAGTTTCTGATACCAGAGAAGCAAAATGTTCCCAGGACCCAACATGAATGCCATTAGCTGAAATACCCAACAAAGGAGAGATAAAACCTATAGAGATTATACCCAGTGATTAAGCTCGGCCCATGTTTGGGGGATGGGGTCACCCATCCATCTCAAAAATTTTAAGCAAGAATTGCTCCTGTCTAACTGAAATGCAGAGACAAAGAATGAAGCAGAGACTGAAGGAAAGGCCATCCATAGACTGCCCCACCTAGGGATCCCTCTCATCTACAGACACCAAGCTCGGACACCTGATATAACTGTCTCTTGAGAAGCTCTGCCAGAGCTTGACCAATATGGATGTGGATGGTGATCACAATGGTGGAGTTAGAGAGAGGACTGAAGGAGCTGAAAAGGTTGTCAACCCTGAGGAAGAACAACATTATCAAACAACCAGAACTCCCAGAGCTCTAAGAGTCTAAACCACCAACTAAAGAGTACACATGGAGGGATCCATGGATCCAGCTGCTTATGTAGCAGAGGATGGCCTTATCTGGCATCAATTGGGAGGGGAGGTCCTATGTCCTGTGGAGACTCGATACCTCAATGTCCCAAATTAGTGGAATGCTAGGGCAGTGAGGAGGGAGTAGGTGGGTGGGGAAGCTCCTTCATAGGCAGGGGTGATGGGGTAGGGGATTTCAGAGGGGGTACTGGGAAGGGGAGTAACATTTGAAATGCAAACAAATAAAATAACTGATAAAAAGAAAAGAAAAAGACTTTCTCAGTTTAAAATGGTTGAGGACTATTTAATTACTTGCAATTTGACCATTGTAGATTCAAGCCACTAAAGTTCACTCGACAATTTGGAGGACAGCATAGAAATGAAATAAAGGCACAAAAAAGACTAAGGAGCAGAACAGTCTTCAGAACGAGGTTTGACGTTTTGAGTTTTGGCTGCTCCAATTCTATCTCGTTTCAGTAGGCTGGGAAGAAACTTAGTTCTGGACAAAATTGTGAAGTTACGTACATGTTTGGTGAATGTACTATGAAAATATAGCAGTTTCGTGTAAAAATGGAATGTGAGCTTGGCCTAACCTTTGCAGTATACACTGCTGTGTCACCTAGTCTTGACTGCCAACTTGACATGATTGAGATGTTCCTAAGAGATAAGAAAAACCCAGCCTGCCCAGAAGGCTGCTTGTAGAACACTGACAGAGGGAAGAGATATCTTGAATGTGGTTCCAGCAACTGCAGGCTAAAGACTTGGATGGAAGGAATGGAAAGGGGGAGAAGCAGCTAGAGCATTCTCTTTCTTTACCTCCTGGATGACATTGTATGAACTGTTCTGGACCACTGTGTCCTATCTCTGCATGATGAACCCAAGCCCCAAAGCCATGAGCCATAGTAAGTAATTATTCTCCTTAAGTTGTTGATGCCAGGCACTTTTAATGTAAAGACAAAAAATGTGGCTGAGATGACCATGACAGGAGCATAAGCCTCAGCAAGTTTCCAGTGAAAACAATGGTAACATACACTAGTAACTCCCCAAAGATCCTGTACTTTTGTCTTTATTTCTTTTTCTATTAATCACTCTCAATATTCGGATTATACAAAGTTATTTGTAATAATAAGGCCTAAAGTAACTTTTATCAAACAAGAAATGATTAAATATCTTATTGAATATAAGTCTATTGGAGAAATATCACAAAACCAATTAAACAGATATTTGTTCAGAGTTTAGCATGCAGAAACATGGCTAGAATATGATTCTGAGTGAAATATTATAGTATTAATTGCAAATATTTCTTGCCATATAAAACATATATTAGGTAAAATATTGAATCACGAAACTAATTTAAATGGTTATAGTTAATGTTTGTGGCATTTAGCATGAGGATGAGTAATTCTATTTTTCCATTGTTGCTTTATATTTCTTACAAATTATATTAAATTAACATTGCAATGCTCTTCTAGCTGAAAGACACAAAATATAGTGTCTTATTTAAAGTACATTTTTTACCTGATTCTTGCTTGACGTATTGATAAGACTAATATAACAGCATGTATCTATAATTCCATGCTTCAATGTATTTTAGTTCAAAAATTACAAATATTATCTTAAAATTATCATTTGCTATTAATTGTAGAATTTTGGTAAGAGATGTTTTAGAAAACTCAAATCTCTTTTTAGTTTCTTGAAAAGGATTTTTGAATACTTTTATCTTTTGTATTAAAAATAAAATATATTTGCTGCAAATGACTATTCTGTTGGCGAAATTATACTTCATATTAAAGGATTTTAACTGTATTTTATATATATTCCTTACATTACATTTCTTTTTATTGTGTTCTTTATACATTCTTTGCATCACATTTCTTATAAAAGTTAAATTTCTATCACTCTAACACAGACAAGCTCAAGAATAATTCAGAGGGCCGGATTGCAGTGCCATATCCGTAGAACAGTAACGGTGATCTTCAGCACTGGGCCATGCAGTGTTGGCCGTCAGTGGCATGGATGTAAACGGCAAGTACACGGCTGGAAAGAAGCAATGGAGTGTCTGGCTAACTGCGAATTACCTGGTGTCCATCCGGTTAGGCCGGCCCCGCTTTACCTCCAACGAGAAGCTTATGCTGGCCTATATGTTCCACTCGCTCTTTGTCATTGGCTCTCAGCTATCTCTGGAAAAGGGCAGTTCAGGCATTGAGATGCTGGAAACAGACACATTCAAATTGCACTGCTTCCAAACACTGACAGAGATCAAGTTTGCGGTCCTGGCAGATACTAGGCAAGGTGGAACAGATTCTCTTCTCTGAAAAATTTATGAAATTTACTCAGACTTTGCTCTCAAGAATCCCTTCTACTCCTTGGAAATGCCCATCAGATGTGAGCTATTTGACCAGAACCTGAAGCTAGCTCTAGACATGGCAGAGAAGGCTGGCACCTTTGGACCGGGGTCATAGGATGAGACTGGAATGGACTCCCTAAGTTCTGAGACGTGCTCCAGAAGGCTTTGCTGTTTCTACTCAGTGAGGATCCTATCACAGCAGCCTTGCTGATATACTTGAAAGTGGTAGAACACTGAGCCTAGTGATGGGAACAGATCCTGGGCTAGAATGTCTCTGCCCCTTTGTATATATCACAGTCTTGTGCCCTACTCTGTACAGATTTATTAATGGAGGAAGCTGGCTTAGCAATGCTGTAATAAACATTCCTTTGTTCTAAAAAAAAAGAATAATTCAGAATCTGAGTATACAAGTATTTGAAATTTAAAATGTGTAATTTTTCATAGGATATTTTATTTACATTTCAGATGTTATCCCCTTACTCCATTCCCTCCCCTCTGCCAGGAACCCCCAATTCCGTCCCCCTCCTCCTGCTTCTATGAGGATGTGCCCCGACCTACCCCCACTCCAACCTACCCACCCTCGAATTCTCCCACACTCAGCATCCAGCCTTAATGGGACCAAGGACCTCCTCTCCCACCTATGCCCAACAAGGCCATCCTCCCCTACATATACAGCTGGAGCCATGGGTCCCTCCCTATGTACTCCCAGGCTGATGGTTTAGACTCTGGGAACTCTGGTTGGTTGGTGTTGTTGCTCTACTCATGGGGCCGAAACCCTTTCAGCTCCTTCAGTCTTCTCTCTCACTCCTCCATTGAGAACCCCATGATCAGGTCAATGGTTAGCTGTGAGTATCTGCCTCTGAATATGTCAGACTCTTGCAAACCTCTATGGAGACAGCTATATCAGGCTCCTGTCAGCACGCACTTCCTGACATCCACATTAGCATCTACCTTTGGTGACTGCACATAGGATGGATACCCAGGTGGAATGGTCTCCAGTCGGCCCCTCCTTCAGTTTCTGTCCCACACTTTGTCTCCATATTTGCTCCCTTGAGTATTTTGTTGCTCCTTCTAAGAAGGACCGAAGCACTCCCACTTGGTCTTCCTTCTTCATGAGCTTCATGTGGCCTGTGAGTTGAATCTTGGGCATTTCAAGGTTCTGGGCTAATATCCAATAATCAGTGAGTGAATACCATGTGTGTTCTTTTGTGATTGGGTTACTTCACTCAGGATGATATTTTCTAGTTCCATTAATTTACCTAAGAATTTCTAAAATTCATTGTTTTTAATAGCTGAGTAATACTCCATTGTGTAAATGTACCACATTTTCTGTATACATTCCTCTGTTGAAGGACATCTGGATTATTTCCAGCTTCTGGCTATTATAAATAAGGCTGCTATGAACATAGTGGAGCATATGTCCTTGTTATATGTTGGAGCATCTTCGGGGTATATACCCAGAAGTGGTATAGCAGGATCCTCAGGTAATGCTATGTCCAATTTTCTGAGGAACCACCACACTGATTTCCAGACTGGTTGAAGGAGCTTTCAATCCCACCAACAATGGAGGAGTGTTCCTCTTTCTCCACATCCTCACCAGCATCTACTATCACCCTAGTTTTTGATCTTAGCCATTTTGACTGATGTGAGGTAGAATCTCAGGGTTGTTTTGATTTGGATTTCCCTGATGACTAAGAATGTTGAACATTTCTTTAAGTGCTTCTCAGCCATTCGAGTTTCCTCAGTTGGGAATTCTTTGTTTAGCTCTGTGCCCCATTTTTAATAAGGTTACTTGGTTGTCTGGATTCTAATTTCTTAAGTTCTTTGTATATATTGAATATTAGCCCTCTATCAGATGTAGGATTAGTAAAGTTCTTTCCCCAATTTGTTGGTTGCTGTTTTGTCCTATTGACAGTGTCCTTTGCCTTACAGAAGCTTTGTAATTTTATGAGGTGCCATTTGTCAATTCTTGATCTTAGAACATAAGCCATTGGTGTTCTATTCAGAAAAATTTCCCCTGTGCCCAAGTATTCTAGGGTATTCCCCACCTTCTCTTCCGTTAGTGTCAGTGTGTCTTGTTTTATGTGAAGGTCCTTTATCCACTTGGACTTGAGTTTTGTACAAGGAGATGAGAGTGGAAAGATTTGCATTCTTCTACATGCTGACCTCCAGTTGAACCAGCATCATTTGTTGAAAATGCTGTCCTTTTAACACTGGATTGTTTTAGCTCCTTTGTCAAAGATCAAATGACCATAGGTGTGTGGGTTCATTTCTGGATCTTCAATTCTATCCCAATTATCTTCTTGCCTGTCTACCAATACCATGCAGCTTTTATTGCTCTGTAGTGCAGTTTGAGGTCAGGGATGGTGATTCCCCCAGAAGTTCTTTTATTGTTGAGAATAGTTCTCACTATCCTGGGTTTTTTGTTATTACAAATGAATTTGCAAATTGCTCTTTGTATCTCTATGAAGAATTGATTTGGAATTTTGATGGGAATTGCATTGAATCTGTAGAGTCCTTTTGGCAAGATGGCCATGTTTACTACATCAGTTCTGCCAATCCATGAATATGAGAGATCTTTCCATCTTCTGAGATCTTCTTCAATTTCTTTCTTCAGAAACTTGAAGTTCTTCTCATACAGATCTTTCATTTGATTGGTTAGATTCACACCAAGGTATTTTATATTATTTGTGACTATTGTGAAGGGTGTCATTTCCCTAATTTCTTTCTCAGCCTGTTTATCCTTCGAGTAGTGGAAAGCTACTGATTTGTTTGAGTTGATTTTATATCCAGCCATTTTGCTGAAGTTGTTTATCAGGTTTAGGAGTTCTTTGGTGGAACTTTTAGGGTAACTTAAGTATACTATCATATCATCTGCAAATAGTGATATTTTTACTTCTTCCTTTCCTATTTGTATGCCTTTGACTTCCTTTCTAATTGCTCTGGCTAGGACTTCCAGTACAATATTGAATAGGTAGGGTAGAGTGGGCAGCCTTGTCTAGTTCTTGATCAAGTTTATCTCCATTTAGTTTGATTTTGGCTACTTGTTTGCTATGTATTGCTTTTACTATATTTAGGTATGGGCCTTGAATTCCTGATCTTTCCTAGACTTTTAGCATGAAGGGATGTTGAATTTTGTCAAGTGTATTCTCAGCATCTAGTGAGATGATCATGTGTTTTTTTTTCCTTTGAGTTTGTTTATATAGTGGATTACATCAAATATTGAACCATCCCTGCATTCCTGGGATAAAGCATAGTTGATCATGATGGATGATTGTTTTGATATGTTCTTGGATTCAGTTTACAAGAATTTTATTGAATATTTTTGCATCTATATTCATAAGGGAGATTGGTCTGAAGTTCTCTTTCTTTGTTGGGTTTTTGTGAGGTTTAGGTATGAATGTGATTGTAGTTTCATAGAACGAATTGGATAGTGTTCCTTCTGTTTCTATTTTGTGGAATAGTTTGAAGAGAATTGGTATTCAGTTTTCCTTGAAGTCTGATAGAGTTCTGCACTAAAACCATCTGGTCCTGGGCTTTTTTTGGTGAGGAGATTTTAACGACTTCTGCTATTCCTTTAGGGGTTATGGGACCATTTAGATGGCTTATTTGCTCCTGATTTAACTTTGGTATCTGGTATCTGTTTAGAAAACTGTCCATTTCATTCAGATTTTCCAGTTTTGTTGAGTATAGGCCTTTGTAGTAAGTTCTGATGATCTTTTGAATTTCCTCAATTTTTGTTGTTATGTCTCCCTTTTCAGATCGGATGTTATAAATTTGGATCCTGGATCTGTGCCCTCTGGTTAGTCTGGCTAAGGGTTTATCTATCTTGTTGATTTTCTCAAAGAATCAGCTCCTGGTTTTGGTGATATTTTGTATAGTTCTTTCTGTTTCTACTTGGTTGGTTTCAGCCATGATTTTGATTACTTCCTGCTGTCCACTCCTCTTGTGTGTATTTGCTTCATTTTGTTGTAGACCTTTCAGGTGTGCTGTCAAGTTGTTAATGTATGCTCTCTCCAGTTTCTTTTTGTAGGCACTTAGAGCTATGTGTTTTCCTCTTAGCACTGCTTTCATGAAATCTCATAAGTTTTCATATGATATGTCCTTATTTTCATTAAATTCTAAAAAGTCTTTAATTTCTTTCTTTATTTCTTCCTTGACCAAGTCATCATTGAAAAATATGTAATTTTATACATGAGTAAATTATATAGGTAGCATACTCTGCATGGAGAGACAAAGTTTCAGTTTGCTGGTTTGTTATTTATTTAATTTATGTTTGTACATGAGTTCTTACATGTGTACCTCTTGAGCATGTGGTGTGCATATGGGCCAGAGGTGGGTCATCCTGACTCTGGAAGTGAAGCTCTGGGAGATTTTAAACTATGATTTGAGTGCAGGCAACTAAATCCAGGTCTTCTGCAAGAGCAGCAGTTGCTCTTAACTCCTGAGGTTTCTCTTCAGCTTTGGTTTTTGTTTGTAGATGAATATATTTTTTTCTGTCCAATTTTATTGTCTATGCAGGGATGCTGTCGAACAGCTCCATGTACAGATACATGGAAGTTGTAAGACACAACCTCTTAGGGCAATGAACTGGCTTTCTGTGAAGTGAGCCTTAAACAGAGGGAGAAAAAAGAGACAGGAAGAATTAAGGTACACGAATCTCTTTCTTTTTCTTCCTCTTCCCTATGCACTTCTTTATAATGTAGTTTTCTCTGGAAAACCTTATAGACAGTTTCCAAGTGACAAGTACAACAAGAACTATATAGCCTAGATTTCTTCCTGCCTTATTTCTCTTGGTGGCTTTCTGTTCTCACCATTATTTGCATGATTATCATGCCTCAAAAATATGAACATATAACTTTCTTTTGTTTGTCTTTTCCCCCTTGCTTGTGATGACAATTAGATCTAGAACCTTATATGAGTTAGGCTAACAATCTTCCACTGAGCTATATCTTCTGGTCTTATTTTCCTGTTTATTCTAAGACAGGGTTACATTCAATTGCCCAGAATAGCGTTTAACTCAGCCTGTAGACTTAGCATCCTCCTGAGTAGATATATTATTAACCTAAATGACAAGGACCATCTAAACACATCAATTTTTACATATGCTTTACA